TAAAAGAGCCCGCTAGAGGATTGCTTTGCTTTCTAACATCTCTTTCTGTTATCAAAATGCTCTTTAGCACTAGGCGTCTAGTAAGCGATAGCTATCGCTTACCTAGACAAAGGCCGAAGCACCACAGACACACTTCAAGCACAAACTCGTATTTGTAAATAAATCTAGTTAGAACGGCCTCGGCCAAAGTCTTACATAGCCTCGAGCTCACTAGACTCTAATGGAACAATAATAATAATAATAGCCCGTACACTCGGTTTTTGCATTGTTGGCTCCATTGACTTACTCCTTTCATCTGGAAGGCTGTCCTCGTACAACTCCAAGGTTCGCCACTTGGTTTGGAGTCTCTGTTTAGCTAATCCGCCATGGCTACGTATTGTGGTAGCAATTTTAGAGGCTGCGTCTAGACTTCTGAGATCAATAGAGGCTGCTGGAGTATTACTATCCTTCTCGTGACCTCCTCGCGTGTGAATCACGAGCCAGTCGCCGTGTTGCAAGAAAAGAAAATGCCAGTTTGATTCCTTCTTGATCCACTGCAGAGATGGTATCAGTGTGATAGGCTCAGACTGCGTACCCTTGGATATAGTCATCGTCTTGTGTTCGATGAGATATTGTGTGGATGACGTTTTGTCTCGAAGCACCAAGTCGCAGCTCAAGGGTTGTACAAGATTGAACGAAAGTTCTAGGTCGCAGTCCGGCTTAGCGCGAAACATCTATACAAGCTTTTGGATAATCCTTGCGGAAGAGTTCTGGCGCTCCCCTAATACTGTCATGATCTTTTTGAGATTGGAATCAGGGTTTGGCGGCGTCCAACCTCGTAGTGTCACACTATTAGAGGGGTTTGTGTAAGTCGATTGACCCTGGAACGCATTTCTAAGTCTCAACAGTGCTTCAAAGAGGTTGCGCCGACGTACCGCGAACGGCGCCAAAAAGGCGCTGATGTGCAGAGGTTCACGCTGTTGCAGTCTGTGTGCCTTGCTGGACTCGTTTTGGACAAGAGTCTGGGTGTCTATGTATTCTAATCTGATGTTCGCATACAAGGCTGTATAGCTATTGATAGGCAACAAACATAAGAGTTCAGGATGCGCAGGGGGTGCAACCACGAATATGGGGGCAATCTGATGAGCCGATCGATGGCTGACCGTAAGTTTGACGTCGATTGGCACAACCTTCAGGTTTCTCTTATCTTGATGTTCATTGACCTAAGCCCAAACGGCAGAAGGGTCCATGTCTATAGGAAACCCCTCTGGGGGGTCGAAAATAAGTCCCCCATCGAGCGCACTGTAATCCGGTGCTGGAATATCTCGGGTTAATACTACACTAGTTTTCTATCAGGTGCTGGGGAAATATACCTCGTATTACACTAATCTGCTTTTTATGGTCCTTAAATCCTTGTATGCAGACATTAGATAGCATGCGAAATGCATTGTGTTCGGTGATCCATCTACTTATAGGCGGGATTCGATCAACTACAGCCCTTTGTTTCGCCTGTAAAGACTTTGGTTTAACTATAGTGATTCAAGAATTCTTCTATTGAAGATGAGACAAGGTGAGGTAACCTAGTAAAACTGCCAAATTTGGACTTAGAGGCTTGAAAGTGTGTGAAAAGGTTGAATTTGAGTGGCTGTAGGGAGTCTCAGAGTATGTAAAATCTGGGCATTTGAATGATCTTTAATAGGAGAGTGGTGGAAGGTGTTCGCGTTCGCTTGAGCGAAATGTCACACCTAACATTGTAATATATAGAAAGCTCTAGATAGAGAGGTGTGTGTTTCTGCTATTTAAAACGATGGTTTTCCAGAGCGCCTAACTATCTAGTTTGATAATTTGGTGTGACTTTAGCCTAAACATTTGTTGCGAATGTAGTTGGAAATCCTAGCCGAGTTGGGTATGTATTGCATAACGGGAGCCGAGTACAACGTGAGCGATGAACCCGATAGGATGAAAGAATCCTTGACCGATAACTTTAGATTGATTGAGCAGCACGTCGCCGAAAAATCCCTTGGGTTTTCCGTGACTTGCCGTTCTCGTCTAGATTGTTTCCCGCTTGATAGTCTTGTTTAGATGGTTTACAATTTCACTAGTACTGTTTAAAGAGTCTACAATGAGGGTGACTAATGCCTGAAATTGACTGGAGAGAAAATTATTAACAACTAACTCTGTGGCGATGTTCTTAAGCATATCAAAAGCTGGGTTTGCAGCCATTTTGGCGGCCCGACTGAGACAGAGGCATCGCTCACGTCTCGTGCTGTAGTGCAATCAATGCACGGACTGGGATCGATCGCTCGATTGTGATACTAGACAGGTTCCTTGGGTTGGAAATTGTCTTTTTGGTGCTGAAACTGGGAGCGGTGAGATTGTGCGACGATATTGTGAACTACAAATATGTAGAAAAATGCGTGGTGGAGGCTACGGAAAGTTGGTAAGACGGAAAGTTCTCGCAGTCAAGGGCGTAGAAAGTGGGGCATAATACAGCATGTGTGTGATAGGTGTGTGAATTGGGATTGTGATTGAATAAGGTGGTTTTTGCGGTTGCTGATGCAGAATTAGCGTAAAAGGGGTATATGTAGGCAGAGTTTTAGTCCGCGGCTTCGGCATCCTAATCCCTAGCTCGCCCGTTGTTGACGTTGATTTGGTCGCCATCGTCGTAGTCTTTGGCTGATGCATGCCCCTGCCTTGATTTGGAAAGGTATCGGCTAACCCTCCATCATCGTAGGTAATTGATACTGATTCTGGTTGGCATCTATTGGCTTGTAAACAGACAAACAAAGTAGAGCGCAACTTGAACAACATGAGCTACCACCCTATGGGTGTTGGAAAAGAAATTCAATAACGCAGTTATAGGATGCACTTACTGTCTTCTCTATTACGGGCTCTAGGAGTATTAATTTGCTTTGAGGAGCAGCTGCAGTGCTAGTAGCGATAGTGGCCGTGGGTAGTTGTGGTAGGCAGGTGGAGGGCGAGGCATTGGTGCAAGGCTATCACGTGATGCGTATCAGGTTAGCGACAATTGGATATGGGCTCAACTGACATCTAACTCGACAACAATCTGCTGCTAGAGCTACAGCTATTGTTTTTTTTTTGCTCTCGTGAATGACTTGAAGAAGGACCTATGTTAGTGCGATATCCTCTCACAGGCTTGTGATAGGGTTATACAAATGTTATGACTAGAAACTGCTGTTGCAAGGGTAATAAAACGTTTATATGAATAACGAAGTTTACCTATATGGCTTTCTCTTGATCGCTCCACATTCTCCTGTTCCAGGCTTCTTTACCCCAGGCCATTGTCCCAGTACACGCTAGTTAACAATAGCTGATGACTATGGTCCACTTTCACCCCTTCTATGGTTACTTCATGTGCATCCAAGTCGTTGAATAATCATTATTAATAGGACGTGATGTGAATTTTTTTTCATTGCTGAAATTACCACTATCAGGTCCCACATATGAGCACGTGTAAAGCAATTTTAGAACCAGTAGCGACTGTGTAGCGCTGCATAAAATTTCATGATAGGCTTCCTAACCAATGATGACTAGGTACATGTACTGACATCAGACATCAACAGCAGAGCCCAACTTTGCAAACTCAACTACGTTATCATAGCTTTATGACAAAACTTTTTATGAGGATGTTTCTCTATACTAAACAGTTCGCATAATAGACCTAAAATCTGATATATACATTATACGTCTTCTTTAGGGAAACCGAGTAGCCATTGGCGTACACGCTCCTTGTATGCCTCGCTAGGATTGCCATGACCACAGAGCAAAATGCTCGCTCGGTACAGCTCTGCCTCTTGCAGAGCCTTTTTCTCTTCCTTAAACTGATGATGGGCTTCAGAATGGCGTGTCCGATGGTAACTGCTCGATAGCTCGAATAGTGGTTGCCGGCCTTGAAAACGACGTACGAGGTCTCTCTTTAGAGAGTTGGTAGGGATGACGGCGGCAGGTTGAAGGTTAGGAATAACTAATTGAACAAGTGGAAGGTTATTATCGCTGGCAAGGAGAGTTGTAAAAGCTAAAAGAAGAGCATCTATAGGGCGGGGGCTGCGTTCAAGCCTGTCCCAAAAACTCTCGCAGAACACCTGGAGCTTTGCCTCGCGATCTTTACAACAGAGTTGGCTGAGTTCATGAAACTGCTCGTATAGAGTAGAGTCGCCAATGCTGGCGTCTTTGGATAGAGTAGCGTTTGCCATGATTGGAGATAGTGTGGGGTGAGGGCCTTGGGTAGTTCGTGTCTGCGTCTTGGCTGGTCGGAGATAGCCGGTGTGATCCACTCTGGCTTACTTGGGTACTTAGCTAACCTGCATGGACGCGCAATGACCCAGGACGCGCAATGACCCACCCTACCAAAAAACCTATTGCAAAAGATGAGGCTGTACAGCCACCCACAGTCGCTATTATCACGAGATTTTATAGTGTTGTAGTAATTATAGCATTGCGATTATGATAGGCTACTTGTATCTAGTGTGGGTGGTCAATGCGTGCAACGGGTCAGACAATGCAACACCCCCTGCATCTCCCAAAGTAGAACCCACCAATTTCAAATCCCCACAACTCCACCACCATGACAGCTATCGAAAAAGCGCTTGCGGCAATCAATTCGCAAGGTCTAGAAGGACAAATCTCGTACCGTACAGCTGCAAAAATATATGGTGTTGCGGCATCAACTTTAACGCGTCGCCACCAAAACAAAACGCGGTCGCGTGCAGCCGCTGCACGCCCACGACGACTACTCTCACCACAACAAGAGAAATACCTTGTCCAGCACATAGAAAAACTCTCTAAGCGTAGTACTCCACCGTCCCAAGAGATGATTAAAAAATATGTTGCTAATATTGCAAAAAGACAGCTATCTAACAGCTGGTTTACAAGATTTCTTTGGCGGAATAGAGAGAAAATTATTACCAGAAACACCGCCGGCATCGACCAAAACTGCAAAAAAGCTAACGATTTTAAAGATTACTATAATTACTTCCGTCTACTTTACGATTATATTGAGAAATACGATATCTAGCCGCAAAATATCTATAATATGGACGAAAAGGGCTTTCTCCTTGGTGTCACTTCAAGGACCAAAAGGGTGTTCTCCAAGAGACTTTGGGATGAAAAGAAAGTTCGAGCAGCTGTTAGAGACGGCAGCAGGGAGTGGATAACAACTTTAGACTGTATTTGTGCTGACGGGAGCTGGATATCGCCTATGATAATCTTTGAGGGTAAAGCTGGACTTTGAAACAACTGGGTAGAGCACCTAGATCCTTCCTAATACTAGATGTTTTTTGCTACTAGCGACTTGGGCTGGAGTAATGATATCCTAGGGCTATCTTGGCTTAAGCAGGTGTTTTAGCGCTAAACGAAAGACAAAGCAAAGCGCGATTATCGGTTGCTGATCCTAGACGGTCATGGGAGTTATTAGACTCCAAGTTTTCGAGAGTTTTGTGACTCTAACAGGATTCTCCTAGCTACTCTCCCTCCCTACTCATCTTACTGACTCCAGCCACTTGACGTTGGCATGTTTAAGCCCCTCTTGAGCGCGTATACTGAAGAACTTAATAGTCTGTCCTACCGCAGTCAAGGCTTGGTGGAGGTGCACAAAAGTGACTTTTTATAGTTATTTTGGGTGGCGTGGACACGGGCGTTCACGTCTAACAAGATACTAAGCTGTTTTTGAGCTACTGGCGTCCACCTGCAGGATGGTAATGCTGTGCTTAAACATCTTAAAAAGTCAACACCACAACAAGATATTAATCTAGAACTTGGAGAGCACGGTGATGGGGATACTGCAAGAGAGCTGTCTAATTTTCTAGACAAAACTATGACGGGTTGTGCTAAAGTTATGGTCTCTGCGGTGAAAGATACTATTGCTTCACTCTAGGTTAACAACGAGATTTTGCACCACGAAAACACTAATCTACGAGAAGTACTTGCTATCAAAAATTATCTAAAGAAGCAAAAGAAGCCTCTAGAGCTCCAGCAAAGCAAGCAGTATCATACTCCAGCGGTGGTGTGGAGTCCTAGGACAATAGAAGATGCGAGAGCTCAAGAACGTCAAAAAAAAACACCAAGAAGAGCTTGAAAAACTCCAAAAAAAGAGAAACAACAGGAACGAGCTGCTAGTATAGCTCTACGAAAAAAATTAATAAACGAGGCAAGGACTGCGCAGGAGTTAAAGAAAATAGCAAGGGATAAAGAGAGAGAAGTGAGGGCCAAAGAACTCCAGTTAAGACGCGCCCAAAAAGCTCGCGATCGCGCAGTCGCAACTTCAAAAAAAGCTCGCGATAAGCAAAATATACCTAAACGAAAAGCTTCATCGTCTCAAAAGTCAAAAAAGTCAAAGGGTGGTGGTGATGCAGGCAGCCAAAGTGGTGGTGCGTCTGCATCGTCGGCTGCGCAGCCCACCACCAAAACAACGATGCGCGGCCGCAACATCAAACTGCTAAAGAAATTTGAGTAGATAGGATTGTTTTTTGAACTATTTAGACTACTCCACCAAAAAATCTCGTGATAATAGCTTTTGTATAGTGCTCTACAGCCTCATTTTTGATAGGCGGACATTTTAGTGGTGGTGTTGCATTGTCTGACCCGTTGCACGCATTGACCACCCACACTACTTAGTAGCTTGGTGGTGCGGCCGTGGCGGGTGGTCCGAGTTAGGACGGCTAGTGCAGC